GCCATGTAATGGGATTTATCTTGTGCTGACATGAGAGGAGGTTGTGGAAGTCATTCTGTGTCTCAGATTCTCTACCATACTGCGGAAAAACTGACCTGCATGAATCTGTACAAGCCTGCCATTCTCACGCAGGGCAACACCCTTGAAGGACTTCTCAGCTAGAGCTGTATGAACTGTAGTCATGTGTGGGCCAGGCATGGTGACCATGGATTCAAAAACTCGTATTTCTCGAGTTAAGAGCCTATCTGCTGTAGGCAGTGTCATCTCTCTTTTTTGGAGTTGCCGAGAGAGGTCGCTGAGCTCTGTGAGCGCATCGTACATCAGTCCCAGATTGCTGACAAACGTTGCAGATGTGAGCACATCATCCAGGCCCTTGTACTTTGCTCTGTCTCTGGAATCCCTGCTCGTGTCGTTTGCAGCATTTGTGAAGTGATCATGAAGCACTCGGTAGTTTTCCCAGACTGCTCTGACGCTCCTTTCACTTGAAGCCACCCAGCGGATGGACAAAACACGCCCTATCACCAGGAGACGCTGTCCGACTGCTTGCGCACACTGTGCTAACTGCCTCTGATTTTTGGGGGAGGCATTGAACAAGGAATAGAGTTTGTCAAAAAAGATCTGGAAATGATTGAGCCCTGAGACCTCCTTGACCACATCCCCAACTGCCAGCTCTAGACGATGATTGGAGCAGTGCCACACAAACAGGCTTGGGAATTTACTACACAACTGGGTAGCAACGCCTGTTCTCTTCCCTAGCATGACTGAAGCCCCATCACATGCAAAAGAAACGAAACACTGACCTAAAAAGTCCTCGTTAAAATCTCTTCCAAGACACTCCATTAACGCCTTTGTGATGTCATCAGCCGTTGTTCCATCCAACTCGATCAGCTCCCAAAAAAACGTTTCGGGCTCAGCATCAGCTAAAGCTGAGCGTAGACACACAACAAGCACCGTTTTACCACTAATAGTGGTAGATTCATCGACCAAAACACAGAGTTTTCTTTGGTTTTCTGTAATGTCTTTTGCCATTTTTTTCTTCAGCTCATGAGCTATGTGGTCGATGATTTCGCCACAGGTTTTATTGGAGTGCAAAACCCTGCCCACGTTCAGCCCATTCAGTTTCTGTACATTCAAATCAATTGGCATGTCTGTGAATGGCCGGCTATGTTTGCCAATTTTATATGCCGTTCGAAAAACTCTGATAGTGGTGTCTAATTCAGATTTATGCATAGACTGCACTTGATGTTGAATAGTTTCACGTGAAGCAGATGTAAGGATGTCAGCAGCTTTTACATGGGCTTGTGATTCTTTATGTTCTTTGATTTTTTTTTCTCAGGCTAGCTTGTTGTTTGCCCTTGTCAACACCGAAATGAGACACTGCACACTCACCCCATTCAGTTGACAGTTTCAGTCCTTGTCCAGTGTGTATTCCCAAAGATTTGACATCTCTGCATATCCGACATCCTAGCTTCTTATCTTTAAGAAGGAGCCATGCATTGGTCTTGCAAAAATATTGCACCTGGTCCGTTGTCCAGCAGTCAGGTGCATCGCTTTGCCCGGTGTTGGTGGTGGCAGTTGCGCCAGCAGCAGCTAACTTTAGAGGCTCTGGAGGAGGCTGCGGAGCTAGTGCTAATGCTAATGCACTAGAACTTGGAGCAGGAGGATCAACCAAAGAAAGCTCCCCATCAGACACAATTTCCAACACAGGCACAGCATTCTCTGTATTTGAAGTTTCTTCCGGCGACAACCGCTGTCTTTTTGCACTTTTATTAATCCACGCTAACATTTTAGAAATGCTAATTTGTGACGTGACTTGCTTTCCTTCTCTCGGGGGCGTGCCTGCTCTGTTCTATCACTCTACATAGCCACCCACTGGGTGGGAGTTGCACTGCATAAACACAACACACGTGCATCTAGGTATGTAAATTGTAAAGCATTAAAACATGGTTTTACTAACAGTTTTCAGTATGTTGTTACTTCGGCATTATTATTATTATTATTATTTTGAAACGTGTATTACTATTAAATCACGGTCAAATAGGTTAATTTTGACATAGTCGTTTCCACCACAGTATTTACATGGAGAAGATAAGCCCCGCCCCCTCTCCAGCACGTTCTGTTTGAATGACAGGAGTAAACAGCTGACAGCCGCTGTGAAACTCCAGCGGTTAGAGCGATGAGAATGTCCGTTCGGCACCTCATGACGCATCTACTGAGTACCGGGCGGCTGTATATATATATATGGATGTATAATAAGAACGGCGGGAGAGTGTTGAGTACTGGCACGGTGCATGAGTACCGGAGTACCGCCAGCATGCCGGTACTGAGCAAGAAGTGCCGGTACTCCATGGGTCAGAACCAGAAGTGCCGGTACTGCGTACCGGTGAGTACCGGCCCAATTCCAGCACTGAATATGGGCGATCATACGGTCATGTAGCCAGTGGGACTAAAAATCATCCCGGGACTCTCGACCGGCCCACTTCGGTACCGCTAGTAAATTGTCAACAGGGGGAGTGGGGGATGTCAGGGGCGGCGGGTGCTGTAGATAGTAAATGTAAATATGTAAATATTTGTGTCACTGCATCCTGGTAAAATACAAATATAATGCAATGTCTGTGTCTTTGACATTAGCGCTGCCAGCCACCTGTGCCCTGTACTACGAAGCCAGTTCAACAGACCCTGGATATGTTTGAGTAACAAACAAACTAACAACAACAAACTAACAAACGAGATCTCGCTAAGCGGTCCTACGACGCTGGTTATCAACTCGGTAAATCAAGCCAGGGTTTCTCTCTCCAGCTGAGAGCGCGTTCACGTCTAAAACACGAGTGGATCTGACTTTAATTACATTTGACTCGAGTGTTTCGTCAACATAATGTGTTGCTTAAAATAATACTTCTCTTCTGCATACAGTATGTGACACTGTAAGTGTTGCACGGCCAGATACGGCTGGAGAAGCTGACTCAGATAAGGAAATATATGATACATTATATGATCGACGATCTGATTGATGATGTAATATGAATGATAAGTGCGACACGTCGGCGTCTTCTCTGCATACGGCAGTTTAAACTGTATTTCCTTTATCCTGTAATATGACTTGAGAGATTTAAACTCCGCACACTGAGTTGATCTCTTTTCTATAGACGACGGAGGCGGGCAGCGTCAGGTAAAACAAGTTATTTAGCCTTCCCAAACCTGAACCTCACGCGCCGCCCTATGGGGGATGTGCTAGTGACTTATCCGACCGGCCCACTTCGGCACTGCACCCAGCCCAGGTAAACTGTCAACGGGGGGAGCCTCGCTGCGGGGAAACGGTGGACCTGGTGTCCCGATCGGAGTGGGAATAATAATAATAATAATCCGTGCATTTTATCCATTAATTTCCCCAACATTGTGGTGAAAAAACCACACGTTTAATCCATGTTGGTGTACTACAACTACAAAAAGCATCGGGTGGTTTTCTCATCAGGAAATGCAGATCGGCACAAACAAACGATTTTTAATCATCATTCTCACGATCATTTAATGTATCATATGTTCGCCGAATTGACATGAAAGCACTGACAAATATGAATATACTGTAGTCAACTTCATTAAAACGTTATTAACGTGCCTAAACCCAGTAATTCACCATTTCTACGCATGACAACACACTTTGTCCGTGTTTGGCTCTCTCGCCGCACAGTGAAGCGTTCCCGCATTGACGTCACTTCCGGCTTCCCCCAAAACTTCAAAATGAGTCGAAGGAATTTCCCCGCGATGTTCGAAATTATTGATATTTAACGGAACGGTATCGCTTTTTCTTTTTTAAACTGACGGTTCGAGATTACTAGTAGCCCAATATTTCATTGCACAACAGTTGTTGGGATGCTGTCACAGGCTCTTTAAGTCTTATTTTTTATCATTTTCATTTTCTTTTTATTATAATTTTTGTTCATACTACATTTATTTATATATATTGTTTTAAGTTAGTTTGTATGATTATATGTTATATTATTGTTATTTTTTATTTATTGAATAATTATTTATTTATTATTTTCTTCTTTTCATAATTTTTTTATTTTCTTCTTAATTTATATTATTATTTTTATTATTTTATTAATATTATTGTATTATTATTGTTGTACTTTTGTCTCAGGGGGGCTTTACAGTTTATACAGACTAGTGAGAGGAAATGAAATAAAATATGATAGCAACTCAAAGAGATTGTTAAAGACATGTGTACTTTCAGAGCAATTGAAAGTACATTTGTTATAAATGTTGTATCCACAAAACAACACTGTGTGACACATACATTAATAAATATATTAATATAAGTGAAAATAAATGTAGAAATACATTAAAGATATTCAGAGATGTTCAGTTTTATTCTCAACTTGTAATTTTTCATTTATTTCCCTATTTATTTATTTGTTCTTGTGTTTATTTATTCCTGTATTTATTTCCACATATATTTATTTATTCCTGTATTTATTATTTTTTTCTTGTGATTATTTATTCCTGTATTTATTTCCACATTTATTTGTTTCTGTTTTTTTTTCGAATATAGTATTCTTGTATTTTTGTATTCCTGTATTTATTCCTGCATTTATTTTATATTTACGCATCTATTAATTTGTTTTGAATGTCATGTTCTGTCCTCCATACATGTGTGCTCGTTGTGTGCATAAAGGTACACATTCACTCAAAATCACATCACAGCAAGACTAATAGTTGTGTGGCGTTCAATGTATTAAAAACATATTGATGATCCAGAGGTCTATGCATTGGTTTTTCATGCAGGAGCTCGAGGTTCAACGGTTCAACACACAGGTGGGGGGAAATATGTTGTCTTCTGCTATGCTGATGTTAAATCTGGAGAAATTGTCCTCACCACTTTTTCTGTTCACATATTGCAGCAGCTCAGTAGGAGGAGACTGGACTCCAGACAGACGCACCGGCCTCTGATTCGCTGGTTGGCTGCTTTTACTGGTACGTAGACAAATGCGGAAGTGACGTAGTGAGCAAACAGTGACCGACATATTCGGGATTTACAGAAGAGCTCGTCCAGTGCATGTGTTTGTCTGCGAGTCCACCGCGACCTCCACCCGGTAAGCCCCGCAGAGAGCACAGTCATGGCGCCCTTGTCGTCACCCCTGGCGTCTCTCCTGAAGCACAAGGACTTTCTACAGAAGGCGTCTCTCTTCTGTAATGTATTACAGAGTTTACACCATCCGCCATTCACACCTCTCGTATGGAAACGGAATTTCGGTGCAGTAGCGCATGGGGTCGGTAAACTCCTGTCACACCAACCAAGAAGCACAAACTACGCAGCATGTGTGTGCAGCAGCTCTGCAGACGGGCAGGTCATGACCGAGAGGCTCAGGTCTGTTTACAATGAGACCAAAAGGCAGACTGGAGGTAGGGACACTATCATACAATGCAATGACAGCTCGGTGTAAACAACGCTGCCTTGTAACCCTGTTATAACTCATGTTTCCAGCAGACTAGTACACTAACCAGTTCTACAGCATTACATTTACAGCCTGTAAACAATAAACACATTATCCACATGTGCACTGCTAACATAAACCCCAGCCATGAATGATCAAAATCGTGGTCATTAAATACTTTGTATATAACAATCTGATATATTAGGTCAAGTTAAAACTACTCATCTCCCACATGTGGCCAAAAAGTCCAAATGTTTACATCACAACAGAGTTAATCTATTTTTGTTTTCCACTGGTGTATTTTTTTGCTAGAGAATGAACAAACTCTGAAGGCCTGTTCTTTAAAGTTTGAATTATTAAATGTAATAGTGTGCTCTCCTGAATTATGCATAGTAAGTTACTGAACACTGAAAGTATACATCGTGCATACCTTCAGTCATTAGAAAGTGCTGGTAATATCCCTGCATATGTTCTCATGTGTGCTACATGTATATTCTCATGTGTTTCCTTCTTATTCTGTTGCTGCTATAAAACCTGAATTTCCCTATGGGGTTCAATAAAGATCCATTTGATCTTATCTTATTTGAATGGGATTAAACTGTAGTTGACAGTCTAATGTGGTGGTGCATGTTGGTGTGTTCTGGTTTTATTCAGACACCTATTCAAAACAATTTGTATGCCACACAAGATCGATGCACTTCTCTCCTAATATAAGCTTTCCTGTCGTAGCAATATATAATGTACCCAGATTTAAGAAGGCTGCAGAATAATGTGTTTTTCTCCTCTTAGATTTGATCCCAGCCATTACCGCCAATGCAGTCAACCCTGACACCATTTTTGCCAACAATGAGATGAGCCTCCGAGACACAGAGGTCTATGGCTTCGACTATGACTACACCCTGGCGTTTTATTCCAGGAACCTCCACACCCTGATCTTCAACATAGCACGGGATATTCTTATCACTAACCACAGGGTGTGTGTTTGTTAAGTGTGTGAATCTTAAAAGCTAGCACTTTAAAATGTATTTTTTTCCAGATACAGAAAGAAATATTATTTACAGCTGAAATGTATTTGTAAACTAAATGAGCCAAACACAAAACAAGACCATAAAGAATCATGTATTTTAATGTTTGCCATGAAGAATGTCTCGTATAGTAATAACCTAAGATATCCTGTAGCAAAGAGATTTATAGTAGTGTTAAAAAAAGTACTCTTTATTAGTCCCTTGAGGAGTCACTCAGTTTTTCCACAAACATGCACACACATGATGACACATACACATGCACTAACATATACAGTAGAGAGATGCTACTGAGAGCTACAGGTTGAAACACCCTGCATTTAAACTGCGTGTTTGTTTTATCATACAGCAGTAGCTTCTTTACCTCCAGTACATATTGAAGGTTGACTTATGTATTAACCTTGTGGTTTATTCCTTTGCTCAATTATTTTAATATTCAGTTTATCTTTTTCTGTTATTAAAATAATAATAATTGATTTTCTTTTATATCAGTATCCAGAGGGTCTGCGAGATTATGAGTATATTCCTAATTTTGCCGTGAGAGGACTTCACTATGATGTGCAGAAGGTGAGAAGATCTTTATTTTTCTCACTCAGAAATGGACAATTTGATATTCTTTACAACCATTGTACCGAAACGTGTTGTTTATTAATGATACATTTTGTTGAACATTAATCATTTTAAACAGGGACTGCTGATGAAGATAGATGCTTTTCACTACATCCAGTTGGGAACTGTGTACAGGTAACTTTGCATTGTGTATTTGTGTTACTCCTCACATTGAGCTATAGAGTCATAAACTGAAATGTAAAATGAACACAACACTGAGTGTAATGTGCTTTTCTCTACAGGCTACAGATTTAGACAGTTAAACACAATTATTTAGCAATTAAGACAGCACAACCTAGGGCTGCTCAATTAATAGTATTTTAATCGCAATTACGATTATGGCTTGCAACGATTACGAAAACAACGTAATCGAAATAAAAGGATTATCTTTTTATTATTATTAGGACTTCTTATTTTCTTATTCTTTTTTTTGGTTTTTCAGTTGAATTATACTTAAAGTTCAGGGTAATCAACTGTTAAAAACATACTGGTCAAATTTTTTTCTCCAATAAATGTATGTTTTCAAAGTAAATGGATCATCGTTTTTAATAATCGTGATATCAATTATTGACCCAAAAAAAATCGAGATTATGATTTTTGCCATAATCGAGCAGCCCTAGCACAACCTACAGCCTTTCTATGGTTTATCATCACTTTTAGTTGTTTGCAGACGCTAAAAATGACTATGAATTATATTTTTGTCTAAAGACTTTCTATTTTGTGTTTCTTTATCAGAGGTCTGGATCCAGTTCCTGATGAGGAAGTAATTGCCATGTATGAAGGTTGCCATGTACCTCTAGAGAACATGAGCGACTTCTATGGCAAGGTGATCATTTCCTCTCTTATCTATGACAAGACAGGCGCTAGAGAGATACAACCAACAACATATAATGCTGTTTATCACTGTCCTTCAGAGCTCCCATGGCCAAACCATGAAGCAGTTCATGGACATTTTCTCCCTGCCTGAGATGACCCTGCTGTCCTGTGTCAACGACTTCTTCATGAGGCACAATATCGACTATGAGCCAGTGCATCTCTACAAAGACGTGAAGGTGAGCTGTCTTGCTATTAATAAACCTTCTTTGATAAACAGTTTGGAAACTCAGCATACAACATTTGCATTACATTGATTCAGTGGCACTCATTTCCCCAGTTATTGTATCTCCCAGGGTTCAATGCATGTGAAGAAATTAAATCCAGCCACATTTACATAAACGTTTACATGTTTGCAGTGTGATGTAATACACCAGCCATTCAATCACATCTTAATTTTAGCTCTGAAAACCGGTGTCTAATTTTAGTCCAGTGAGTCCGCCTCCAGCCATCTGCGTCTGTTCTCTGGTGGCTCTGCCGCTTCAGAGGCAGAGGGGAGAGAAATCAGCGCTTTGTTCTGCCTTTGAGGGCAGCTGTCATGCTGGTCCTGTCTATTCTGTGTGACACTGCAGCGTTTTTGAATGATCACTGTCATTAAAAGCCCTCACACACACTCTCAGTTCCTCGAGTGCCTCTCATATCTTTCCAAGGACAGACTGCTTAATCTCATGTTTCCCTGCCATGCTTGATTCATTATTCAGCATTACCCCTTTTGTTTACTTATTATTTTTGCATTCATCCAATCATCTTTGTAAATGATAAACCTCTTTTAAAATTGCCCTTAAATGTACAACTTCACAAAGAAGGGTCTATTTACTCGTTCAGTGATTCAAATACACTTCTGAAGATACAGAGAAACTTTCTCACTGTGTCACCAAAGTAACTCAACTATTGTCTGCTTTTTGCATATTTAATTTGTATTCAGAGGTGCACTTTCTTTTGTGCCTCCAAGTCAACCGTTTATAAACTGAGCAAGTGTTGCTACTGGAGCTGAATGCTAACATTGGCACATTAAGTCATGACTGGCTTTACTCTTTCCTCTCCACAGGAAGCCATTAGAGATGTTCACGTCAAAGGCATTATGTACCGCGCAGTGGAGGCAGATATCGGTAATGTTCCTTGATTTGCTTTACTTAGTTTGACCTTTGAATTGTTGACAAGTCATGTGAAACTAATACGGAAATAATGAGGCTCTGATTTACAAATAAAAAGCAGTTTTGACTGTCCAAATTATCCACTGCACACTATCTTTGTTTTTCTTATTTCTCAGGGAAATACATTTGCTATGGTGAGCAGAGCCATGCTGTTCTGAAGAAGCTGGCTGAGCATGGAAAAAAGATGTTCCTCATTACCAACAGCCCATTTGACTTTGTGTAAGTGTGAGGAAACAGAGCGCGAGTGCTTGTTGCTGTGATTAATTAAAAATATCTTGTATCGATGTGCTAATATTTAATTAGTGCCATTCAACATATAGATAGGCAACCACACATCAAAGTGTTTGTTATTCCCTGTCAGTGACTATGTTCATCTTGTAAGGTCAGACTTGATTCACAAAATGTTTGTTACCGTACTCTCATAAGAAGTTGCTGACAAGATACTTTCTTTAATCTTTCCCAGGGATCGAGGAATGAACTTTATCGTAGGGAAGGACTGGCGGGACCTGTTTGATATTGTCATCGTTCAGGCCGACAAACCGGGTTTCTTTAACGACAGGAGGAAGTAAGCAAGACAAGGCATACTGTGTCCATGCTGTGTTTTAATATTCCACTAGAGGCCTCACTGTGCCAGAAGTTACCAGTACACCTTGTTTCATACTGTTACACAGAAGGTGCATGTTTGTTTGGGAGCGATCAACATTGGCTAATATTCTTCTCTGTGTGTTTTTCTCTAGACCTTTCAGACGAGTGACAGACAAAGGTGCACTGCTGTGGGACAGGATTCACAAGTTGGAGAAAGGGAAGATCTACAAACAGGTGTTTTTCCATGCATGCTAGTTTAAATGTTTTGAATTAGTAATCCTGGATACAGCTTTTTTAAATATATGTTTTTGTTTGTGTGTGTTTGATGCCTGTAGGGAAACCTTTATGAGTTCCTGAGACTCACCGGCTGGGGAGGATCCAAAGTGCTCTACTTTGGTGATCACATCTACAGTGACTTGGCAGTAAGCAGCATGATCACAACGAAGTGCTCATTATAACTACACAAAACTTTGTACAATGAAAGATTACCATATCATGAACAAAGAGGGGAACCCCGCTTTGGCCATGCTCCATTTAAGATAAGTGTTTTTCTCTTAAATTGAAAGGCCCGACGCTGAGTTAACAGTCTCAATCTTAACGCTCTGTTAAAGAGCACATAATGAGATACTGAGCGGATGTTAGAAACAGAACAAAGATATCAAAATAACTGGGTAGGAATGCATTAAACCACAGTCACTGTAGCACTGCATTTGTTCAAGGTTCTTTATTGTCAAACTAACATAGCTACAGAGTAATTATGTCATTGAATATCTTAGGTCACAGGCTTCTCCAACAATGCAACACAATAATACAGATAAGCAGACAATATTAAAACAATATTAAAGTATGTTGACAGGCATTTTAATGAGTGTCACTGTCTCCTGACACCTACCAAATCTACAGTAGTGGGCATCCCTGCACCTAATTTACATCGTAACCTAGCAACCTGATGTAAGCAGCCCCTCATCTCGATAAACTCACAAAGTAAGATCCATAACGACTGAATGTGTCTGATCAGCTGTAAATGGTGATAATGAAATACGGAGTTTACATCTTTGCCTTGCTGGTGGCAGGCAGCCGGCTGTCAAACATGTCGCCCTGCTTATTAAGAAAGATGGAACATGGTGTTACACCGCCACAGCCCCACTGTAGGATAGATGGACATCGGGGATTGTTACTGCAATTGGACACAGAGAAGAAGCAGGAGTTGCTCAGGAGTTACAGAGCATGCAGCTATATTTAAGTACACAGCAGAATCCTGAAACATCTTCTCACTTCACTGAATCAGCAAGGCTTTCTCAGTCGCCCTACTTACGTACTTGTTACAGTCTTAAATGCTTAAATGGTTGCTGTTAGCAATTTCTACTGGTCACCTATTTATTTGAGCTTTAGGGGCAATACTGCAACCAATTTCAAAAGCAAATCTTTAGTGTGACATTGCAGTTGTGCTGCTGATGTGCTGTGTGTATGGCTGGTATAGACAAGGTTAATGTCATAGATGTCCCACCAGTTAATCATCATTGTGATGATGACACTGTGTTATAACAGCAGCAATACCCTCACATTCAGGCTGCTGTACTGTATGATATGTGTTATTTCTCCATCTACTGTGTGTTGTTTATACCACTCCTTTACATTTATTATTGCTCATTCCCTAAATGTAAAAACACGTGTATCAACGAATGGGTACATTCTTCAATTCTGGTGCTTTGTTTTGAAGGATCTGACTCTGAAACATGGCTGGAGGACGGGCGCCATCATCCCTGAGCTGAGGAAGGAGATTAAGATCATGAACACAGAGGAGTACATGCACATGATGGCCTGGCTACAGGCGCTGACTGGACTTATTGAACAGATGCAGGTCAGGAGACTTTACAAAACATTTGTCTTTCCCTTTTTGCCTTTATTCCAAGAGTTGTGTGCCTAACATTTTGCACTTCTCCCAAACAGGTTCACAGGGATCCAGCATCTCAAGCTGTCGTGGAGGAGTGGATCAGCGAGAGAGAAGACATGAGGTATTAAATATAATTACTTTGGCAATCACGAAAATCTGGGATCTTGCAGACAGATCTTATCTACTATTGACGCTATCAATGTTATTTTTTTATGGTAGAGCACAGACGAAGGACATCTTCAACCCTCAGTTCGGGAGTCTCTTCCGGACGTACCACAACCCCACCTACTTCTCACGCCGACTCTCACGCTTTGCTGACATCTACATGCCCTCCATCAGCTGCTTGCTCAACTATGACTTCCAGCACACCTTCTTCCCTCGCCGCACCCCCCTGCAGCACGAGTCCCCCTTCTGGCCTGAACACAGTCCTACTGGTGTTCCCCGGTCAGCTCCGGGGACTAAAGCAGAGTCCGATTAGAGAGAAAGAGAGGGAGATATCATTGAAAAATCATCTCCATTGCTGATCTATTTATAAAAATAAAAAAAAATTATTAGGATTTTAGAAGATGCCACACAAGTACAATTGGAAACAATCATGGTAATATGTATTAGACTAGTTAGATATTTCCTCTCAAACTATTCAGGAGGAGCAGTGGATGCAGTTCTCATTTCAAAGATGGTGAACATGTTTTTTAATTGCACAGAATTGAAGACATTGAATGCACTGATATTTTTAGGTTTACGTATATGTGTTACTGTTGGACTGTGTGTTTGTCTTGAGTGTGTTTGAGAGAAAGGGCTGCATTTACACAGTCTAAACAATAAGGGGCAGTCACACATCATGTCTACCAAGGCAAGGCAAGGCAAGGCAAGTTTATTTATATAGCACTTTTCAACACAAGGCAATTCAAAGTGCTTTACAAAAAATGAAAGAGATTAAGAAAATGGCATTTAAAATCAGTCATTAAAAAGAAAAGCTAATAAAATAAACATTAAAAGAAAAAATACATGGATAAAAGTTACAGTGCTGTCAATTAAACATTAAAAGAAAAAAGTACATGGATAAAAGTTACAGTGCAGTCTAAGATATGAATAGTTCAATTAAAAGCAGCGACAAAAAGAAAAGTCTTCAGCCTGGATTTAAAAGTAGTCAGAGTTGCAGCGGACCTGCAGGTTTCTGGGAGTTTGTTCCAGATATTTGGAGCATAATAACTGAACGCTGCTTTACCATGTTTAGTTCTGACTCTGGGGACAGAAAGCTGACCAGTCCCTGAAGACCAAGGACCTTTGTTGCATCATTTCTTCCCTCTCTTATTACTTTGCTTTTCTGCTCTTTGCATCTGTTACAAGAGACTGACGGTGAAATAGTAATGCTAGACATTTCCATAACAAACTTTGTTGCCTTACGGCCCGTCCACACAGCGGCGTTGGTTCTGCCCATTCACTTTGAATGGGGTGAGGTCACTTTTCGCCGAACTGCATTGTGGGAAGCAGAGCGGAGCTTTCCTGGCGTTTCAGGCTGCAAAAGTTGAGCAATGTTCAACTTTTGAATCTTCTGAAGCTTTCGGTGGAAGCGTCAGCCAATCAATTCATATGCCAGTACAAGCTCTAGCCAATCAAACCGCTGCTTGTGTGTCAGGGGCGGGAGATTTATGTGATTGGTTGTTGGTCGAGCTTCAGACACGCCCGCCGGCAAGCTTTTTCCAAAGCCGCTGTGTGGACGGGCCATTACTCTCTTTTTTCACATTACTACAATGTGTTTATTTTTGTTACAACCACATGTTCTCTATGGTAATCAATATTTTCAAATGTTTTGCACCTGAGTTCATTTCATTTTGAGCTGCCGGCCATGCTGCACATTTAGGTTCAGAGATCTCTGTATTTGATTGTCTGAACTCGTTTCTTACACCACAGCCACAGTGCTGAGAAATGTTCATATTTTCAGGAAGAAATAGATAATTGTTGCTATATTTAGCACAGGAGTTGCTATTTGATCTGTATGGTGTTCAGATCTGTGGGACCCGTTTTAATTATTTAGTTAAAGAAAAATGATATGATAAATTATTTTTTCAAACCCACACTCAATGGCCTTGGCTCATTTTCTGTGAAGAACATATCAGAACACATTTTCAATGACCACCCCCCGTGTGTGTGTGTGTGTGTGTGGTGTGTGTGTGTGTGTGTGTGTGTGTGTGTGTGTGTGTGTGTGTGTGTGTGTGTGTGTGTGTGTGTGTGTGTGTGTGTGTGTGTGTGTGTGTGTGTGTGTGTGTGTGTGTGTGTGTGTGTGTGTGTGTCCGTGTCCTGCGTCCTGCGTCCTGCTGGATCTACAAAGAAGGAAGATCCCCCTAGCCAGCGCAGACCAGAACAACTTCCTCGGCTTCAGGAGGAAAGACTCTGGGAAACTGGACTCTCAGGCCAGGGGCTTCGGGGTCTGGTCTGACTGGCCAGATCTCAATGACCTCTGCGATCGGACTGGAGTCCAGCTGAAATGGCTCAACACACAGACTGAAGTCCCCGTCTCTGATGAACTGATCACTGACCCCAGTGTGGTTGTGAAGGCCGACATCACAACACCTCAGGAAGAGACTGTGGAACTGGTGTGGACTCAGACTACAGGGAAAGCTAGCCTGTTTGGGGTTTGCTGACCACTCAGTCTCACACTCAGTGTTTAAGAACGCCGCTGTTGGTGAGGATGTTCTGACATTTACCATCAAAGCAAGACTGCAGGTATTACCCACTAAGTACAATCTGTCCACCTGGTACCCTCGCATTCACACTCCATTCTGTTTAAACCATCAGGATTCACAACAACACCTAGAATCTATTGCACACATAACAAATGGATGTAATGCATACAAACGCCTGTACATAGCCCGTCATGACCGTATTGTGGACATTGTGTCTGATGCGGTACGAAACATCTTACCATCTAGCACAGCAATGTACAAGCACGCTAGAGTGCTACCAGAATGGTTTGGTTTTACCAATGATGTCTTTGCTAACATCCCAAATACACCTGATGTTGTTTTTGTTGACACCAACCACAGGGAGGTGCTAATATTAGAAGTAGGCTGTGCCTTTGACCTGTACATGGACCAGGCTTTCCAGGACAAGTATATCAAATACCAACCACTGCTCGATGTGATAACCAGCTTTGGGTACAAGTGTAGATACAGCATACTTATATTCGGAAGTCTTGGTCATGTATATAAATGCACCATGATTGGTCTGAGAATTGCTGGAATGTCAAAGAGAAAAGCCAAACAAATTGCCAAATATTGCTCTGTTTCAGCTATTATTGGCAGCTTAGCCGTGTGGAGAAGGAGATGCATGTGTTCCCCTAAGTGTTCTGTGCTGCTTGGCCCCGATATATTTGATTCCCTGTTTTATGTAATATAATTTGTGGAACCAAATAAAGTATTCAAATGTGTGTGTGTGTGGCAGGCAGAGCATTACTATACTTGTGGGGACTGTAGAGGCTAAGCCAACGCTTTAAGCCTCTGAGGATCCGCTTGGTGGGTGTAATTGACGCACACAAGTTTGCTGCCGAATAAAGGTCAGAAACAAAGTTTCCAGTTTGAAACAGTCCATTTATTTCCATTTTACTGGTTTCCATTTACTTGCTTCTTTCCATATTCACCACACGATATTACCGTTTACACAATACCTTTGCTTGTAATCCTGTGTTTGTGTGTGTGTTCTCCTTGTGTGTTCCTTGTGTGTGTGTTCCTTGTGTGCTCCTTGTGTGTGTGTTCCGTGTGTGCTCCTTGTGTGTGTGTTCCGTGTATGGTCAAAAACTGTATGGCAAGGCAAGTTTATTTCTATAGCACCTTTCAACACAAGGCAATTCAAGGTGCTTTACAAAAATCAAAGACATTCAGACCAAGGTATTTAAAAACAGTAAAAGATAATAAAAGAAACATTAAAAGAAAAAACACATGAATAAAAAGTTACAGTGCAGTTTAAGATATGAATAGTTCACACAGAAGTTCCACTTTACTGATGAACACAACGGCTCAGTTTCAATTAAAAGCAGCGACAAAAAGAAAAGTCTTCAGCCTGGATTTAAAAGTAAGAGTTGTAGCGGACCTGCAGGTTTCTGGGAGTTTGTTCCAGATATTTGGAGCATAATAACTGAATGCTGCTTTACCATGTTTAGTTCTGACTCTGGGGACAGAAAGCTGACCAGTCCCTGAAGACCTGAGAGATCTGGATGGTTCATAATTTAGCAGAAGATCAGAAATGTATTTTGGGCCTAAACCATTCAGTGCTTTATAAACCAGCAGCAGTATTTTGAAATCTATTCTTTGACACACAAGAAGCCAGTGTAAAGACTTCAGAACAGGAGTGATGTGATCCACTTTCTTAGTGTTAGTGAGGACTCGAGCAGCGGCGTTCTGAATCAGCTGCAGCTTTCTGATAGATTTTTTAGTGAGACCTGTGAAGACACCATTGCAGTAGTCCAGTCTACTGAAGATAAAAGCATGGACAAGTTTTTCCAAATCCTGCTGTGACATTAGTCTTTTAATCCTAGATATATTCTTTAGGTGATAGTAGGCTGATTTAGTAATTGTTTTAATGTGACTGTTGAAACTCAGGTCAGAGTCCATGACTACACCTAGATTTCTGGCTTTATCTGTTGTTTTGAACATTGCAGACTGAAGCTCAGCGCTAACTTGTATACGTTCTGCCTTGGCTCCAAAAACCATTACCTCAGTTTTGTCTTTGTTTAATTGGAGAAAGTTCTGACACATCCAGTCATTGATTTGTTCAATGCACTTACTCAGTGTTTTAACTGGAGAATAGTCTCCTGGTGAAATGGTTATGTAAATTTGTGTGTCATCCGCATAGCTATGGTAACTTAGACCCCGGCCACACGAGGACGAAAACGGCTAAACGCATAGGATTAACGCAAACGCAATCGCAAACAAGCTTCCGTCCACACGCAATAGTTATCTGGATAGTGTCTGCCCACACGAGACCGCTCCGTTTAGCTCCAACCGCTGGAGAAGCTGCAGTACATATGCAGGAGCCTGTACGCGGCGCTGTAACATCCTCCACAAAAGCAGCAAAGAAGCATTGTTGTCATGGTTGCCCTTCTGTTTATTCTCTGCGGTGGGGGCCGAGGGAACCGGGCAGAGTTTTTTGCCAGTCTTCCGACAAAATTATAAAAGTGCCGGTCAAAGGTCTTCTTTGTTATTTATTGAGCTTTAAAACAAATGAATAACGACTCTATATAATATAATAATAAAATACACGGAGCCTCTCTTTTTCCTCCCTCTCTTCGGACAGAGCCAGTGTCTGTCTCATGCAGCAGCTGATCCAGTAATGAGTGACCCAGCCAACAGTAAAAATAAACATATTGTAGCGATCCTGATAGGCTACTCAGGGTGTCACTTAGGCATCCCCCGTCTCTCTGCCAATCATAGAGCTGCACCGTGATGGTGGCTGAGGTGCGGGCCTGTGGTTGGTGGAGCGGACGGGGGAGGGCGGGGAGTTGTGACGTAGACAGTGCTATATCTTGTGGTTGGTTTAGGAAATAAGTTAGTGTGCGGTAGAACCATAGACTGTATATATAAATGGACGTAGGGTCCGTGACGTCACCCATAGGATTCTGCAGAGTTGCCGTGAAGCCCTTAGTAGGCGGAGTCGGCCACTAACGGCTCGACGGTGTCGACAGAGTCTAACTCCCGCCTTCTCCAAATAAGGGCAAAGAGGCGGAGCTGAGGCGGGACAGGGCGGGACCTGCTGCCAACGAGCGTGACGTTCGAGTCAGGCTAAGAAGCTAAGCTAACATGCTCTCAGTATCAATCGAATGTAAAACATGATTGATGAAAGTAGTAAATCGGTCAGATTTGACCCGAAGACAACAGGAGGGTTAATGCCATATTCACTTAGTAACGCATGAACAACTTTTACAAATATTTCTATATAGTCTGTGTTGGTAAATGTCATCTAGGTTGCACATTTCCTGCTGAAATACATGCATACCAAGTCACTGCGTGGCACTTTGGTTTTGATAAAACAGTGTAGTTCCACTATATAAACGTTACATTCATAATCAAACGAGACAATCTGCAAGATAATTAGCTATTTGGTATTATTCTTAATGCTTGTCATTCACACGTTAATACAATAAAATAAGTACCGATACATAGCAGAATAATTGTGGCGGTGTTCAGCTTAATAAGCCTTGCTCAACATCATTTATTTAGCTAATACTACAGCGGGCTGCAGGCGAACCAAGTCCGCGTTACGATGCATTCCTTGATCTCCAGTTATAACGCCGGACTCCGCCGCTGGCCGAAGCTAACGGAGCCCCAGGGTGCTAGCTACGGCCGCCGGGACGCGCTAGCGAGCTAGCACCCTGCAGCCCCGTTAGCTTCGGCGGCGTGGACTCCGGCGGCCCACCCCTTTTAACATTTGCTCCCGTTTAGCATTATGGGCGTCATAGCCATATAGTATAAAAGTCTTACCCAAGGCTGAATCATAAACTAAACTGTATAAAGGGTTACGTCCTTAGCTGGCTAATAAGCTACATAACAGGCTAAGCTAACAAGCACACAAACACCTGCTAACGGGGTTAACATGTATAATATTATCATTTTACTCACCGAAAAAAGCTGAAAGTAGACTTCTTGGAAGATCTGTTAGTACATTCAAGCGCACAGCACGACATTTTAATTATCTGGTATTTGTAACAATATTCCCTAACAGGCACGATCACCACGAACACAGCTAAAGGATCAAGTACAGTAACTACAACTAACTAACGTTGTAGCCTCTATGGTTGTAGCCTAGCAGATTGGACAAGTTGCTGTTAGCTGACAGTGAGGCACGTATCTGTCAATCAAAGTGACCACGCCCTAATGTATGCACAAACTTTAAGACCTAATATAAATATAAAGGGTCGCGTTAGAAAACAATTCACTCACAGATCCATAATCATGAAGGTGGAATCTAACTATATCGATAATAAAATGTATGGAGCCAGGGGTAGAAACATGTTTTTTTCTGCTGTAAAATCGGGCATTTTAACATGGGGGTCTATGGAAATTGCTCCTTTCTGCAGCCATCGCCTATCG